ATTCTATATTTGAAAAATATTAGCATTAGTTTGACTACATCTTTCTAGATTTATAGAAATGTTTTATAGTTTGCAGGAATGCAAACTAGATTTTTTTGGCATAGACACATTTCATATTGTTTAATGTTGCATGTAGCTGTCTATGTTTTTCCACTCAATTCAGATAAAGTAAGACTTTATTCTGCTTTTAAATAGATAACAGAAATCTTAAAATTCCTTCCTCATTTGTTCAATCACACTTGGCCAATAAAAAATTCTATTCTATTCTATTCTACTCTATATAAAAAGGTTGTCTGGTTACTTTAAATATTTTGAAGAAAGAAAACATATATACTTTTTTATTTAAAATGAACAGAATTTCAGGATATGGATAAGGAAAGAAGCTTTCGATAACACTGAACAACAAAGACTGATTTCTGAACACTTTTGGATGTATTTTATAGATTCTTTTGGCTGCTCATCACAAAAACTTGTAATTTAACCTATCATGTACCATTTTATAGAAATCTGTTTTTACATAATGGCAATGTATACTTTTCAATACATTTTGGCTATGCTGCACATATTAAAGAAACATATAGAAATATGGAATTGTTATTGAAGCCCATCAGTACATCAAATACATCTGGAATATATCTAAAAGTAGTTGGTCTGCTGTTTGGAATGCAGCTTGGATATACCAAATATTGTTTTTACACATATGTGAAAGGGATCGCCATACAAGAGAGTCACATTATACTTAAAAAGAAATGGCCACCATGAAAGAATTTGATTCTAGGATAGACAAACATGCACATCAACAATTTGTTGATCCAGCAAATATATTTTTGCTTCTGCTTCGCAAAAAACTCAGACTGGTGAACTTTTTTGTAAAAGTGATGAATGAAGAAGGTTGAGATAGCTATTTCCAATAAAAAACTGATGCCAAGATTAAGAAAGGCATTTTTTGTTGATCTGTAGATCAGATAAGTCAATGACAAATAGTTGAAAGATCAATTACTGGGGCCAGAGAAAATGACTTGGAAAATATTCAAGGATATTGTTGAGAATTTTCTTGGGAACTACAGATTATCAAACTAAATTCAGTTATTTGACTAACTTCTTACAGCATACAAGACCATGAAGTGCAATATGTTACTGAAGATTCATTTTCTGCATTCACACTTGGACTTCTTTCATGGAAATCTAGGTGCAGTCAGTGAGAAACATGGTGAAATTTTCACCAGGACATTGCCACAATAGAAAAATGGTATTAGAGCAACTGAAATCCATCAATGCTGGCCCACTATTGTTGGGCACAGCCATGAGTCTTGACATAGACTAATTGCATCAGTCAGGACAAAAAATGCATCCCTTTTTTGGTACATCAGAGGATTAGGGAAATCCCCTCTACTTCAAATTAATCAGATACCAATTCATGCCTGAGAAGAATATTTTAGGGAGCGATATACAGACCCTGACTATGTAACTAAGAAGAGCCACATTAGTTTCGACCAAACTCCTTACTGGCCGCTGTTACACTAGAAGAAATATCATGGTTGATCAGAGCCCCCAAGCTAATAAGGCACCTGTTGCTGATAATGTCCTGCCAGAAATAATCAAAAAGAACACCAGTTGGTGGGCTCCACTTTTAGCATCTGTTTACATTTATAGATAAAACAGGACATATGCCAAGAGATTGGGGATTAGCAATTATCATACCAATTTATATAAAAGGTAATAGAAATGACCCAGGCAGTTATAGACACATTAGTCTTCTGAGTGTTATTAATAAACTATATGCCAAACACCTAAACTATAAACTTCAGGATTGGCTAATTTCAGGAGGGATAATTCAAAGTCGAACAAGCCAGTTTTAGAGAAGGAAGATCAACTTCACCATCTAGTACAAAAATACACATATAAAAAGAATTCCTCTCTTTTCCTAGCCTTCCTTGATTTTAAGCAGGCCTTTGATTCAATATCCAGGAACACCCTCTGAGAAAAACTAAAATGCACTAGTATCTTTAAACTCCTTTTCCTCATACAAAAATTGTATGCCTTAGAGAACAAGAGGACGAGCAATTTTATAAGATATGGGACTTGTTTTATCAGTGGCTGGGGGAAAAAACTTGGAAATGAAAAATGATTTACTCATGCATTAATTGAAGAAGTTAAATGATAATATAATTATGCTGTGAAATAAATTAACAATGATACAATGAAAAATTAATATATCTATGAATTGAATATTTTAGAAACTTTTTGCTCTAAAAAGGATAAGGATAATAATGATTTTATGTATACTTAACAGAGGACTGGTGATATAATGTATAATGTTAAGAACGTACTATAATGATATCCTGTTGTTGATAAATAATTTTAATAAGGGAATAATTGAAAATTGGTATATATATGCAGTGAATATTTTGAATATTTTGTTGAAAAATGAAGGAATAAGAGCTCTGTTTGAAAGTATGAT